CGCCAGCACCTTGTTGTGTACCGGCCGCACGCCGTCGGCAGAGACCACATGCCCCAGGTACTCCAGCTTAGTGCAGAAGAATTCACACTTGCTCTCCTTGGCATACAGCTGGAACTGCCTCAGCCTGTGGAACACCTGGGCCAGGTGCTGCTTGTGCTCCCCCTCAGACCGGGAGAACACCAAAATGTCATCCAGGTACACCACGCAGTACGCTGCCATGTCGGGAGTGATCACATGATTCAGCAGCGTCTGAAACTTTGCAGGGGCGGCGGTCAGGCCAAAACCCATCACCACCCACTCCCACAGCCCATACCGGCCGCAGTTCATGGCCGTCTTGTGGACGTGCGCCGGGTCCATCAGCAGCTGGTGGTAGCCATTGGCCAGGTCCAGCTTGCTCAGCACCTTGGCACCCAGCAGCTGATCCAGCGTCTCGTCAATCCGGGGCAAGGGGTGTGCATTCTTGATGGTCTGCTGGTTGAGCATACGCCAGTCAACACAAAGCCGCTTGGCGCCGCCCTTCTTGGTCACAAACAGCACAGGTGCACCATAGGGAGAGGAGGAGGCACGAATGAATCCCTTCGTCTGCAGCTCAGCCAGCTGCCGCCTCAACTCCTCCAGATCTGCCGCCGACATCCGATAGGCCGGGCGCATGACGGGCCGTACACCAGGCTCCTCGTCAATGGTAAAGTTAAATCTGCCGCGGTCAGGAGGGAGAGAGGGGATGTCCTCCACCAGGCGGTCAGCGTAGGTGGCCAGCAGCTTCTCCCTGCTGAGACCAGCTGCCTTCCGCAGCTCCGCCGAAGTCAGGAAAGTAGTGGGGCCCGCCCCGGGGATGCCGGTGGAGCGAGCGCCGCCTGCAGCCTGAGGTACTGGGCTGCAGGTGGGCGCTGGCGCGTCTGCCGGCGGGGCGCCTGCCATTGTGGCGGCGGACAGCCCTGCCGTGGTGGCGCCATACGCTGCCGGGTCCTTGAGCCCTCTAGGCAGCACAAAACTCATGCTCTCAATCTCCCCTGCCGTGAAGGCAGCATCCACCTCGGCTGCCGTCAACAGGCACGTCGGCGTGTTATAGTCGGTATCCGGCTCCAGGGTGTGGTGCCGCCCCGTCGGGCCCTGAAACTGCACAGTTCGGGCCCTGTAATCCGTGGCCACCCTGTACGTGGCTAGCCAGTCAGCACCCAAGACTGCATCCATGCCGACCAGAGGTGTCAGCAAAAACTGCAGGTGGTCGGTGTACTGCCCAATCTGGACAAAGCACTGCACACTTTGCAGCAGTGGGCGCTGCCGGCCATCAGCCAGCGTCACCGATGCGGCTCCGCCCTCATACGGCTGAGGGGTCAGCTGCAATTCCTCGGCGACTGCTGGGTCCATGAAGCAGAGGTCGGCACCGCCATCCACCAGCAAGGTGCCTCTCCTATCCTGGAGGAGACCAATCAGCTTCATCACCCGCCCTGGCGCCTGCCGCTGTGCCGAGCGGATGGCGTTCA